ACATTTATTAGGTGTCAGTGTTTTAAGGCCTGATGAATTACACTTTTAAGCCGTCCGTCGGTCATAAAGGGTTACCAACTCTTTTACATTTGGTACCAGTCTGTAAGACTGTCATAATGTTTTGGAGTTTAGAAAATCGAATTATCGCCAGTAAATTAAACATGACTTAAGTGCCATTTGAATTTCTAGACTAAAATGTATGATATACGTGCTCGTTAAAAAATTTCAAATTTCAAGGGTTTTTTTTAATATAGATCCAAATTTGCAAAGAGTAGACAAATGTGGTTCTATGACACTTGAATACGCAACACGATCACAGTCACAGCAAATGTGAAGATTGCGTCGTATGTGATAAATGTGATCCTACACAACTTGAGCACTTTGTGATCTGTGGATCTAAAAATGCTCAACAATGGCACGTGCTTGTGTGATTTTATTCGTTACTTCATGATTTCTTCTCCATTACTGTATACATGCAAGCCTAGGTTTTTATTCAAGCAATATGAGTATCTGTTTCAGCCCAAGAGGATTCGTGTGCCATACATTTCTTTTTTTATTTTATTTTATCTTTTTTATTATTTTGGTAACCATAGGTTACCCATTTATTTTTCCTAATAATAATAATAGTTTTACACACAAAAACACAATGCATTAATCGAACTCAAATTGTCTTTAAACAAAAGAATGATTATATATAATACTAATTCAACTAAGTTTTTTTGTAAAGTTTTTGATTTTTAACAGTTCTATAGGAGTTTTTCAACATGTAATTTATTTTTAAATTACAAATCTAACTTGTCAGTAATTTACGCTTTATGTCAAACATATAACTAGAAATGTTATAATGTTATTTCTTATTTTTCTGTTAACTGTATGAAGAAAATATATATCAACTTTGGATGTTTAAACTATTTGATTGACTAACGTATTAAATATTTACATGTGCCATGAATTTCTTTACTATTAATTTTTGGTCTCAAAGATATTGGTTTGGATACTGGTGCTATCATTTGATTTTTGATTTTAAAAATGTACCTGTCCATTGAAATACTGGTTTATTATTAAAGAAACATATATGAGAATAGCATAAACCAGTATAGGAAAAGTACCATGATGCATGTAAACAAAATATGTAATTTCAACCGATGAACTTAAGAAATATGAAGCTTCGGTATAGATCTAATTGTTTTTAGATAAATTCATTTTAAGGAGTATGCACTATTGTACAACGCGCGCACGAGTAAAAAGATTGATATATGTAAGTATCTTTGTTTCGATTATTGACTGATTTTTATCGTCGTTTTAGGACTAGAAATTTGGCGGTGGTAGGGGATATGCAGGATCACTAGTTCCCGCCTTTTCACCGAATGTTGACCGATTGGTACCCAACAGTCCATACATTTGAGGTTGACCATACAGTGGCTGTTGTCCATACATTGGTTGACCATACATTGGCTGTTGTCCATACATTTGTGATTGGCCATAGCCATGTTGGCTGTAACCAGGAGGGCCTTGATGTCCAGTTGTTATGATTGCTACACCTGCGTGATATTAAGATAATGAAAATTTAAATTAAAAGAACACCTAAAAATATTCATCTTAATTATTAATATTTGTAACCGTGCGTTAAATAATCATGTCAATAGTATTTTCTTTAAAGAACACTTACATTTGATAACATGTTACATTTATTTATATATCAGAAACTTTAAAATATTTATTCTGAGATAAAAGCGTATATCAATAAAATAAATCTCTTCAAAGTTAGTTGTCATGCATGATAACAAAACATTATTGATATATTTTATCCTTTCTGTACAATAAACATAAACCAAGTCCTTCGTACAAAAAGACATTGACATCCATATGTCATTTACAGATTGACATGCGTATCAAATGTCAATTAAAGCTAGCTGTACTAAACAAAGCTAGCTGCACTAAGCAAGGCTAGCTGTACTTAACATACTAGCTTTATTTAGTAAAGCTAGCTTTGTTTAGTACAGCTAGCTTCATTTAGTACAGTTAGCTTTGTTAAGTACAGCTAACTTCGTTTAGTAAAGCTAACTTTGTTTGTTTTAGTACATCTAGCTTCGTTAAGTACAGCTAGCTTGGTTTAGTGTTAAGAACAGCTAGCTTTGTTTAGTCCAGCTAGTTTCGTTTAGTGCAGATAACTTCGTGTAGTACTGCTAGCTTCGTTTGTTACATCTAGCTTCGATTAGTACAGCTAATTTCGTTTAGTACAGATAGCCACGTTTAGAACAGCTAGCTTTTTTAAGTACAGCTAGCTTCATCTAGTAATGTTACTTTTGTTAAGTACAGCTAGCTTAGTTAAGTACAACTAACTTCGTTAAGTTCAGCTAGCTTCGTTTAGTAAAATTATCTTTGTTTTTACACCTAGCTTCGTTTAGTACAGCTAATTTTGTTTAGTACAGCAATTTTTGTTTAGTACAGATAGCTTTGTTTAGTACAGCTAGCTTCGTTAACAACAGCTAGCTTTGTTTAGTATAGCTAGCATTGTTTAGTACAGCTTACTTCATTTAGTAAAGTTATCTTTGTTTTTACACCTAGCTTCGTTTAGTACAGCTAGTTTTGTTTAGTACAGCTAACTTCGTTTAGTACAACCTGCTTTGTTTAGTGCAGCTAGTTTCGTTTAGTACAGCAATCTTTGTTTAGTACAGCAATCTTCGTTTAGTATAGCTAGATGTATTTAGTAAAGTTATCTTTGTAAAGTACAGCTAGCTTTGTTTAGTACAGCTATGTTCGTTTGGAACAGCTAGCTTTGTTAAGTATAGCTAGCATTGTTTAGTACAGCTAGATACATTTACTAAAGTTAGCTTTGCTTTTACACCTAGCTTCGTTTAGTACATTTACCTTCGTTAAGTACAGCTAACTTCGTTTAGTGCAGCTAGCTTTGTTAAGTACAGCCAGCTTCATTTAGTACAGCAAACTTTGTTTAGTACAGTTAGTTGCATTTAGTAAAGTTAGCTTTGTTTAGTACAGCTAGCAGCTACCTTCGTTCAGTACAGCTGGCTTCGTTTAGTACAGCTCGCTTCGTTAAGTACAGCTAGCTTTGTTTAATACAGCCAGCTTCGTTTATCCAGCAAACTTTGTTTAGTACAGATTGTTTCATTTATTAAAGTTAGCTTTGTTTAGTACAGCTAGCAGCTATCTCCGTTAAGTACAGCTAGCTTTTTTAAGTACAGTTTGCTTTGAGTAGTACAGGTAGCTTGGTTTAGTACAGCTAACATCGTTCAGTACAACTAGCTTCGTTTGATACAGCTACCTTCGTTTAGTACAGCTAACTTTTTTTAAGTACAGCTAGCTTCATCTAGTAAAGTTACCTTTGTTAAGTACAGCTAACTTCGTTTAGTACAGCTAGCTTCATTTAGTAAAGCTAGCTTTGTTTTTACACCTAGTTTCGTTTAGTACAGCTAGCTTCGTTTAGTACAGATAACTTCGTTTATTACAACTAGCTTTGTTTAGTACAGCTAGCTTCGTTTAGTACAGCAAACTTCGTTTAGTACAGCTAGCTTCATTAAGTAAAGTTACCTTTGTTCAGTACAGCTTACTTCGCTTAGTGCAGCTTACTTCGTTTAGTATAGTTACCGTCGTTTAGTACAGCTAGCTTTGTGTTGTACAGCTAGCTTCGTTTAGAACAGCTAGCTTTGTTAAGTATAGCTAGCATTGTTTAGTACAGCTAAGTTCTTTTACTGTAGTTGGCTTTGTTTTTACACCAAGCTTCGTTTAGTACAGCTAGCTTCGTTTAGTACAGCTAACCTCGTTTTGTACAGCTAGCTTTGTTTAGTACAGCCAGCTTCGTTTAGTACAGCTAGCTTTGTTTAGTACAGCTAGCTTCGTTTAGTATAGCTAACTTCGTTAAGTACAATTGGCTTCGTTTGTTACAGCTAGCATCGTTTAGTACAGCTAGCTTTGTTTATACAGCTAGTTTCGTTTTATTCAGCTAGCTAAGTTTAGTACAGCTAGCTTTGTTTGGTACAGCTAGCTAAGTTTAGTACAGCTAGCTTCGTTTGTTACAGTTAGCTTCGTTTGTTACAGCTAGCTTCGTTTGTTACAGCTAGCTTTGTTAAGTACAGCTAGCTTCGCTTAATACAGCTAGCTAAGTTTAGTACAACTAGCTTAGTTAAGTACACGTAGCCCATTTTTTCAGATCTTTTTACTGTTAAAACTTAAACTCAGATTTCATCTAAGAGTACAAGATAAGTAATTAAACTTGCCATCATAGACAATTTTGTAGAGTATTTATAACTTTATTTATATATCATCGCTTGCATGAGTGCGAATTAATCATTTGTACTTACAAGTTTTTATATATGATTAAGTGACCTAGCTTGAAATAAGACGTAGAATGTGATAGTTTATAATAATTGGGTTAAGTTCCACTTTAACAGATTGTGAAGAGGTTTAAAGTGCATTTTACACTTTAAAGTATTATGAGTTGAAAAAAAGAAGATATAAATTTCCAAAATAAAAAAATATTTGAAGCGAAACATCTGCGGATGACAAATAAAAATGTCAGAAATGATTTAGTCAATACGTGCATTTATTTAACAGTCGCCAAAGAAAGTAAATTAATTTTCAGATCAATTTTTTTCGCAAATAAGCTTATGTTATATAGCGAGGATGCAACTATTTAGGAACCCGATTTTTGGCCACTTATGCGCTCAAATGACTAGCTCTTCCGGTTTATCTAGAATGTCGTAAAATGACAATAAAAGTGTTGCTGTGCCTAAAAGTTCCACATAAAGATACAATTTACTTGTCAAGCATTTATACTTGATCAGGATGTGAATTCTTGAATTCTTATGAGGAAAATTTAGTACTTGACAATTACATGTATATCAAAGCTCTGATGAAACTTGTTTGTAAACACGTGTTGTGTTTGTGCCATCATCGATAGTAAGGATATACACATTGTAGAGGCACACTCCAAACAATTCTAAAACAATTGTGCATAACACTTAACATAAGTACTGTATATTTTCAGATTAAGGAGGAACATAAGGAGGCACTGTCAATCATTTCTATGATAGGATGTATAGTTTCTATGATATGTCTTGTACTTAATGTAGCTATACATGCATTCTTCTGGAGGTTTGCATTTTTTAGTATTAGAGGAAAAAACAATAAAAACAACGACTGAAACAAAAAAAGAAAAAAGACGAATTAAACACGGAATAAACAAATAAACAATTACAAAAGTAAGGTGCCCTAGAAACAACGAGATATTGCAATGAAAAACAGCAAACTTAAATATAACATCACACACAAAACAACAACACCAACACAGTATGAACAGCCGCAGGAGCAATAGCAGCAACAACAACAACAAACATAAACCTAAACAAACATAAGTAAAAATAACAAAACTACTAAAAACCAGAAAAAAAACAACAACACCAACAGCAATAAACAACAAAGAAACACACAAAATATTTACAGTCTTAATAATAAAATAAATAATAATGAAATAAAGCATCGGAACACACCTTTCCAACTACATTCTTGTATTGTACTTGTCCGGTTTCAAATTTAGAACTATTTGTATACAGAAAGTTTCCATTATCTGGAACTTTGAATTTTCATATTTATATTAGTATTATCGTATTTGAAGAAAGTGATTCCAACAGAATAGAGGCTGTGAAGACTGCACGTATGTGCATACTAACGTGGGCAAATGCTAATTAATTTCTGTTCTTACAGTTTTAAAAAAGTGATCTTATATGTGTCCCTTTCTTAAAAATGTGTTAAAAAATTAAACAAACGTGCTTAAAGATCCTTGTATTTGATTACTCTCTTAATAAGTGCTTGGATTCGCTGCAAATGAGCTTAAAATGACTGAATGACACTGTGTTGGTAAAATCGACAATTAACAAAAAATATATTGATAAAAAAAAACGATAAATGCTTGAAAATGGAAAAATGTGCTCAGAAAGTGATTGAATTTTGGCATTTGTTGTCTGTATGACAATGTATAAACCATGTATGAACCATGGGTTAATGCTTAAAAAGAGACCATTTATCATAATGACCCATTTCGTAACTGTTATATACACCTAGACCAGAATTGATGTTAAATAAATATTTGACGTATGTTTTCAGGTTTATTAAATCGGTGCGGTACATCATTCATATGAACTTATCCTGTTGGCTAATTGTTGCTTATATCCTGTTTCTCGCTGGGATAAACAGAACAGAAAACTAGGTAATGTCATACACTGGGGAGATTAAATGCTCTTCGGTAGATTTATCCGCATACGTTACTTTTAATTAGATGCTGATCTTAAAGGAGCATGCCTCCAGATTCATTCTAATTTTCATGAAAATGTCGAAAATATGTTATATAAGAGTAAACGATTGTGTAGGGAGCAAAGAAAGTCATTTTACACATTGCAAACAACACTCACAGTCCAATGAATTACAAAAATAAGCAAAAATAGCCACTACTGAGTTAAATATGGTGATATACTGAAAACTTAGTCATTAATCGCACATAATATTATGTAAATTAACTCTTGATTTTGGAATCTTTTTCTTTTTCTTAAAATCTTATTTTCAAATTTGATATCTTTAAATTGTTTTTTTTTTCACTTTATTCTTAAATATTTTAAGCAACAATTTAATAAAACTTTGCAGCCATTTGAATGACATTTGACAAGATGATAATTATGCTTTTCTGCTTGAGCTTTTGTATGTGTAGAGAAAGGTATCATATTCTGGTATGAAAACACCATTTTTGCTAGTTGGTTTTCACTTTGGTTTATAGCATCAATTGTTTATTTTAACGTGCATGCCTTGTTGAATTTTTTGTTAGAGAATTGCCTTCTCGATAGTGACGCTTTATTTGAATTTAATATGCTTTTCATCAATGTGTAGGACGTTTGCACAGCAATGGCGGTACTTCTGCACCTGGTGTTTTTGATAGTTTTCTTCGGAATGCTGACGGAGGGATGTAACCTTTCATATACGGTTCTCAAACCATTTAGTACCATAAAACCTGGGATGCCACTAATGATATCGTCTTATGGTATATATGTATATGTTAATCAGTTGATTTTTTAGATCATATCTGTTAAACTCTAGTTAAACATTATATATAAATATTAATAGAATGTAAATATTAATGAATATAATAGTTAATAGTATCAGTACTATATTTTTTTTATAATTGTTTGATTTTGTAATGACATGACCGGGCGGTGGGCAGCTGCGGTAGGGCTTCGGCCCACGCCGACAATCTCTGTGTGTGTGTGTGTCTGTGGGGGAGGGGGTAATGTAAAAAAATGTTTATGCATGTTGTAATGAGATAATTTTTCAATATCATTTATTTATTTCCAGTCATCGCAGTAATTATTGTGGTGATATCTATGGGTGCATCACAGCTTCAGGGATATGGCACCGAACAGGCGTAAGTTTTCATCATTTTATGTAACATTTTTTAAACGGTAATTTGCGTTTTTTGCATTTTCATTTCTGATGGAATTGTGATTACTTAATATCATAAATGTGCTTAACATACTTTCACATATTTGTATTGGTCGCTTTATAGAAACTTAATGTCATAAAATCTTGTTTTTGGAATTAAATAATTGTTCGTATATTGAGTTAGAAGTATTATTGTCTAAAATGGCTAAATTCATGTTGATAACAACTAGCACCATTTCCAACAATAGCAATTAGATATTGTATGGTGCATTTTTTTAGTTTCTGTACTTTATGTTTAATTTTAAGTACTTATGTGTCTGATTGACCTTAATAAATGTACAATATATGGTATATGTATCATTCGAGTATAAATCAAATTGCCGTGTGTTTTGATGTTCTTTCTCATTTCTATTATAGACAAAATTAAAAACATGGTCCATGTCTTCGCAATATTAAACCCAAAAAAAATTTAACGAGCATCTAAATATGACTTTTCTATCGTTATCTCTTTCATTGTGGTCCCAATTAGTAAACCTTAGATAAAAATGAGCCATTCAACGAGCAGTGAGTGCGGGTAACAGATACTTGCACTTCAGTTAATGCACTTTCAATAGTTAAGTCTCCAAACTATGATTACAATTTATTGTATTTTATTTAACGTTACTATGTTAATGATATTCATGTAATCAGATATGTTCAAGATGCTGGTTATCGACTGAAACCTGATTGATATGGGCCTTTATTGTTCCGGTTATTGTTGTTATACTGGTATGTACATTGTTTGACTGTATCATTGTATGACTGTAGTATTGTACTTGTTAAAATGTTAAAATACAAGAAACTTTTTTTACAAGTCGATTTACATATTACAAGAAACATTAGCTTATAATCTATTTACCGACAAAGACATAAAACATATTTACGAACATATAACAGATCTGAAATTAAAACATTTAAAACTAGTAGCAGCTTTAGGAAGAAATAAAAGTAGCAAGATTGAGAATAACTATACAATAAGATGACAAATTAAAGCAAAGTATACTGATATGCACAGTACATAAATGGTATAAAACTATTAACTAATAATATACACGGCTGCTGTAAATTTCATTTAGGAAATCTCAATCAATCAATCAATCAATCAATAAATTAATCAATTCAGAATTAATTTATTTATAAATTATTTATAAATTTATAAAATTGATTAAAAATTTGTTTATTGAAATTAATTCATAACTTAATTGATTGATTGAGTTATTGATTGATTGATTAATAAAGCTAAGCTTAAATTCGAAATTAATTTAATAATTAATCAATCAATTTATAACTAATAAATCTATTATTTTATGAACATGTTCTTGTTTCAAACAATTCGTTTCAGGTTAATCTTATAATTGTTGTCTTCGTGATCCGGACAATGTGTGGCACTACAGCAATGTCGAAGAAATCAAACAAAGGACGGGCAAAGTATGACAGTTGCTCCTTTATGTGTTTTTGTCAGGCGTGTTATCAATTGTACTAATTTGAAAGCAATAAATAAATAAAGAGAGAAAAAAATATATAAATACGAAGCCTGTCCAGTAAGTAATGGACAACATCATTTAAATGCAAATACTCAAAGGACTTTTGTAACAAAATTTACTAATATTTAATACGCAATTGTGTAACCAAACATTCGAACAAACCAGCATGATATCATTTCATTTGAATACACAGAACAAATTATAACACTACCTGGTAAAGCAATGAGACCCACGGTCAAACATCATCGAGACATACCGATATTATCTTTTTAAATCTCGACACACTCAGTTGTGAACACTTTAAAATTTCCTAGATACTGAGAGCTGTTTGGTATCTGTTTTCATTTTAATGTTTTTAATTCACTCCACTGTTTATGATCGCTTGACTATGGGCATCCCAAATTTGTCATCTGCAAAAAATATTTCTCATGACACTTGTATAACAACCATCGTAAATAAATAAATATTTATATTGACGAACACTCATTTATACACATACTGTTGGCTTTTGCAATTTTAAGCAACATATTCTGATGATAAATGACATTAATTTGGAAACATTCTATGTAAGCGAAATCTGTGTAATGTTTTGGGAGACAAAACATCGCCTTTTTAAATCGCTGTCTCATAATGATTGGACCACAAAACAAGATCGTTTTTCATCAGTACTTTAATACTTTAATGTATAACTACTTATGTTAATATAACACCATATATCATATCATTTCAGGACAGCATTACATTGCATATTGGTGCTCATGCCGTTGATGGGTCTGACCTGGGGGTTTGGAGTACTATCTTTGAATAGTGACACAATTGCTTTCCAGTACATATTCGCTATTCTTAACAGTTTTCAGGTATCCAACAATTACTTTAAATCCTTGTGATACATTTTATCAAAATGCAACATTCAAATGTAAATTATGAACAAGTGCGCTTCATTTATTTACTTTTAACCTTCATAATTCGTGAAATGGGATACCTAAAATATAATTTGGAACAATCTAGTCAAAGTTTCAAGAACTATGTCAAATTGTGAAAAAGATCTACAATCAGCAAATCTGAATATGTAATCTGTCCAGGCTTTAACTTGTGGCAACACTTTTGTTTCACAATGTTAATCGTTGCCCCGTTAATTTTGATTATTGCCTCTTTACAGACCATAGGCTTAATGTATGCTAAAACTTAAAAGCACAAATATATTAACGTGCCCTGATTCTTATCTTTTTATCATACGAATAGTCAGTTTATTATTTGAATATTTTGCTATATTTATTTCATGTATTAAATGCACAAATACAACCTGACAGAAAGACGATTATTTGAACGAATGTGATCAATAAAATGTCATTTTAGTCATATATATGTTTTAGTTATGTATATATATGTTTTAATCGAGAAACGAAATAATTAAGGATCACTGGAAGAATACTTTGATCTTGTACTTGTATTTGCTTTCATTTATTTTACGAACACGGATCAAGGAAGGCGAACACGCGCCTCCAGTGATCTTGACCTATCTAAATCCAAGAAAAAGTAGAACACTCTAGTTAAGAACAAACTCCTAACAAAACATTTAAATACTATTATTAAAACTCCCTGTACGTCATAGACACTCTTCATGTTTTTTAGTAATGTGTGAGCAGATATCTTATTTATATTTGTACTGTTTTCGGGCACTGTACTATAAAACACATGTTTTCCTAAATGTTTGGGTTTAATAGTATAACGATGCCACTATTATCAAACGTATTCAGGTTTTAAATTATTTATTTCCATTATGTGTTTATGAAAAAATGATAAAAAGAATATAATTTACAGGGACTGCTGATCTTCATATTTCACTGCGTGTTGGACAAAAAGGTAACCGTTTCTAATTACTTGTCAAAATTGGTATCATGACTGGATTTTGCAATCTTGGTTATATCATTTTTGTTCCTTTTAAGTTTCAAACCGCAAGACACACTGAACACTTAAAATATCTAAAACATCATTTTAACTGCTATAATGAATCATACGTGATAGCATATTGACTTGGCGCGCTAACAAGTGATGTAACAAAACGATTCCTAGGTGTTTAGCGATCTTTTACTCCTTTCATTGTAGCTATGCTGTTACCATCTTCGTTTATAATGTTATTGCTCTCAGTGGAGCGACCTGACCGCATTAATCATATCACTGCCGCGAAACAGTTAAAAAGCTAATCCAATAAATTATATCTTCTTGCATTATGACTTGATGAAGTGAGTTCAAAACATTATTTATATAAAATAAAAATGAGATTTCAAAATTCTTTAAATTATGAGTCCTAAATTAAAATGTGGATAGCTTACTTATTTTGGTGGGTCTAAAAACCAAACCGTGGTTAGCTAAGTACGTAACTTTGTTGAAAAAAAACATTAATGTAATTTATATAATTAAAACGACTTCAATTGCAGATAAAAGATGCATTTACAAAACAGAGACACAGATGGCTTCAGTCGACGCAGAGTTTCGGAGTTTCTGAAGGAAAGAGAAGCGTAATTATCATACTTTTCATATTTTTAAGAACATTTACATATTTTTATCTGTTTCTTTTATATTATAACAAAGTTTGCTAAGTTAATTCAAAAAGTAGATTTTGAATAATTTTTCTTCTCAAATTATTAAATTGATTGTTTATTAAAATTCATAATTATTTTATTAACCGTTAACCTTCTAGCACCGAAAATAAATTAACTTTGTTACTAGTATAGAGACAGGCCAGCCTGTACTTCCGGGCAGTCTGACCAGTATCTATACTAATGTTAGATCTATATCATTGGATACTGAAAACGTTAAACATTGAATCGCTTAGAATAGAATGTAACAGTTATATTTGTATTTTATTATGCCTAGGGTCAAAATTAGTTAATATTTCGTTTTTCTTTTAAGAAAACACAAGACCCTTCCATTTTCTGAAAACCAAGAAGAATCAATTCATCGATGGAGTATTTTAAAATGTGATTTGTCGGACATTTTGGCCATTCAAGACTAGGCTACATCTAAAACAGCACTTTGTATATTAAAGCTTCTCGTAGATCATAATCAATCGATGAAGTACTTCAATATTTGTCGGACGTTTACATATTCACATATTCCATGAATCCATCGATGCAGTATTTGAATCACCGATATTTCAGACTTTGGCATATTCACAAAATTCAAACCATCGATGTAGTATTCAATTACAGCTTTGTCGAGCGTTTGCATATTCACAACTATTCATGAATACAGCTAGTGAGTCTTTCAAATATCAGTTCGTCTGCATATGCATAGCAATGGATCCATCGATGTAGGGTTTTCTTTAAAGAAACATCTTCATTCTGTCGGACGTTTATTTATTCACAACTTTCAATGAGTTTTTCAAACATTGATCTGATCATTGGTCGACAACATATTCTCAGCTCTACATATCTTGTGGACGTGGTTTTGCAATTAAGCTTTTTTTGTATTCATTTTCTAAGTTATGTCACAGTGATTCTTCCTTTTTTAAATAAATTTATTTGGATTAAATGAAACTGTGTTCTTGTAAGGATAAATATATACATATCACCGCTGTCGTACATTTTGGAGTTTAATCCCGATATGAAAAAAATGTTATGGTACCGGTATCTTGATTGATATTGTTTGTCACTTATAGTTTGTAATGCTACATTAGTCTTTGCAGTTATAGGCTTACTTTCTAAAGCTATCCCAAACTATATAGTATCACACTTTTGTAACCCTTTATTCTCTTTCAAAGACTTTTTAACAGATGAACAGTACATAACAAAGGTTGACGGTTGCAATGCAAAATCATGAATTTATTGACTTTGTGTATCATTTTCGAATTTACAATAAAATCTCTCATTAACCAGGCGAGGAAGACATTTATACACACAAGAAAATGAAATTGAAACAAAAACTAACAATGACCATATGGTTTACTTATATCAATATATCAATATTTATATTTGGTGAGTAAAACCGGTGCTATAATTCAACCAGTACACAATAGATTTCTTTGAAACTTAATAAAGTGATAAAATGCTCGTTTATTTGTAAGCCTTTTTTTGCATTGACAGTGTATAGGTCTTTTTAAGACGTCAGTTATATTGCATTCATTTTGAATCATCCCACATATAACGATTATGTTAATACAAAAATTCAAATCATTTATGTTCTTATATGTAAATATAACATGGAAAAATAAAGTTCACTTTTGTAGATATTGTAATCGAGACATGTATTTTAATATATTAAGGTATGGCATATAAATGTGAAATAACCGGACTTATTTTCCGACCACACAGATTCATTTTACAATGTAGGCGAAGATATATTATATATGAATTCTGAAATAAAAAAGTCATCACAGGATAATGTCTGTTACGGAACAAGTGGAAATTACTGCCCGCGTCTGTTTAAGAAGTGTTCAAGCAATTAGTGTACATTCTCACCACTGGCTTATGCAGTATCATGGAATATCATAAAGAATATTGAACAAGAGGAGACTAAATGAATTATTCGAGTGCAAGCTATTTTTTGTCATTGGATAAACGAGTATTTGATATGATATAGTTGTGAAATTTATAATAGACTAGGACGTTCATAAAAAAGAAAGCGTTTTATCCAATGTTTTGTTATTTTGATAAAATATTATGTCCTCATGATTTTCCCGATTGTTTACAAGAGATTGGGATTTCAGGCTTATGTGTTCAACTAGTTCATTCTATGCATCAACATCGATACAGTCGCATTTTATAAGACACATTATTGTTGCCATAAATGTTATAAATATCATTATCAATATTTATAATAGACTTCCTAGTTTTGCATGAGCTTTTGTGTAAACCCCTATGTCAGCACTAAGACGAAAGTGGTAGGCAGCGGAGAATGTTGTCCGACAGTTCTAATAATGGTCTGTAATGACAACATCCATTTTATTAAATAAAAAAAAACTGTCAGTACACCCAATAAAAAGTGAATATTTCAAATTATTGGAATGTCGATTAACAATTAACATTGGATTTAAAGGCTTTGCAGATTGTATATCTTATACATTTGATTTTTTCGCAGTCTAATACACATCTTTGTATGTATACCGGGCGAATGTCTGTTCCTGGAAGCGATGCCAGGGACACCAATTTTATATAGCTATATTAAAAGATAAATCAAACAAAATGCACACATTACGTAATCATTTAAGTGATAAACCGTTCGACAAAATATAATAAGAAAGCATGATTTCAAAACCGGTGGGACAGTGGATAGTGTACGGATGTCTTGAAATATAAATGCCGTTGAAACTTGTCAAGTTTGATATAGATGACCATGCGGAACATAAATTTAAAGTTAAAAGTGCATTCTTCAAACAATAAGGGAGTTACTTGATATGGTCACGTATGTGTATGCACTTTCGATTTTCACACAGACGGTGATGCTGTCATCCAATTGAGATAAAAATAAGAAGAAAAAATATGAAACAATACTTATTAAATATCTTAAGTACCAATTATACATTGGAATGTAATAAAGTATTAAATAGAATTAATTTTCCTTGATGTCATGATGTAGAACTTGGATTGCTAACTTTGAAGCATTGATATTAAAGCATTCGTGTTAAACACACAAACTTCAAATTAGATTTAACCAGATGAATTCTGATTAAATAGCTTCATACGATGTTTAAGTTAACTTTAGCGTCTTTTGTGAATACGGCTTTGTTACACGTCATATTTGTAAAATTTGGAAGTTTTACGCCGCCGACAGAAAATGGTAAGTTTATTCGTGATTACTCTTGTTAACAGATTGTTTTTTTTCCGCATCATATAAACTATCTATTTTCTATTGACCTCAATTTATATTAACCTTTTGAGACTTTACTTATATTTTTTTGATATGGGACAGCATCGTGTAGTTCAAAATAAACAAAAATTTACTCATCTTACAGAAAGTAAATCTAAAAGATAAATATAGTCAGCACAATTTATATGTGTCGTCAAGACAGGTAGATAATTAATATATTATATTAAATCATCTTTCTATTTATTATAGGCTAATAACACACTTGCATTGTGAAAAAAATCTATAATCTGAAAACCACATTTTATAATACCTTCGTATCTCTTATATATAATGCCTTCAGTCTGTATTGTTCTTTTTATCAACTTTTCCATCATACACACTATTTATGGTCGGGTAAATAAAAGCTTTTTAAAAGCGGTAAGAGTTTGTTCGTCTTGTAAGTATTTGCTTTAAATGAACTGTACACTGAATGATACGGACTAAAATATAAGACTTAGCCAGTAAGTTACTTGCATTAGTTGAAACTTAAAACTTTGAGTTGAAGATTTTCAACGCCAGGATTAGTCCGATAAAAATCCCATTTTATAACCCGCATATTTCCACAATATCCCCGCAAAAAAGAAACAACAAAATAAAAACAAACAAAATAACAACAACAAACAAACAAAACAAAAAACAGACGTGCATGGGAAAATGTGCAGGCAGCTTGCCCTTTACTGATAGGAAAGTCTAATAGGTTTTCGCAAGGGTAAGGCTTAAATTCGGTCTAAGAATATTATATATTATATAAGTGTAAATTTTAAGGTTTGAAAAGTAATAGAAACAGCATCGAAACAAGAGGCTATCTGATTTGTACCAGAGGGCGTAGCCCCCCCCCCCCGCGTATTAATCAGATTGCCGAATGTTTTGATGTTTTTCTCTTTTGTATCATAGTCAAACATAAAAACCGTTCCTTGTTGTCACAACATGAAACCCCAGAAAAAAGTAACCAATGAACGAGAATCTGAATATGACATTTCTATTGTTTTTCCTTTCTCTGCGGTCCCATTAAGTAAAGCCCAGCAAAAATGAGCCAATCAATAGGGGCATGCACTGGAGTGCGAGTAACTAATACCTGCACTTCAGTTAACGCACTATGCATGTACATGTTGTATATGTATACGATTTAACTCTGACACATATTCAACAGAAAAGTCCCGGAACTATGATACAATTAATATAAGAGTACATGTTAAGATCCATATCAATATTAGAGTACACAATTAGATCAGAATAATATATCAGAGTTCAGCTTAAGGTCTGGGTATTTATTAATAATAGTACATGTTAAGATCAATATTAATGATAATATTGAGTACATTTTAAGAAAAAGTACATAATAAGATCAGGATCAATATAAGATTTAGTGTTATGATAAGGTATCATATAATTAAGAGTTTAATTTAAGATCAGCTTTATTAGAATCAATATTTGAATCAACTTCTAATCGTCAACACAAAATTCTTGTAAATTATTTCAAAACCCTTTTCTACAACTCCACGATTCAACTGATGTCATTTTAAGTCCAAATTTAACATTTAAATGTTTAAAACACATAAGCATAAACTAGATAGAAATTTCAAAACATGAAATCTAATTATGATCCTTGAATATTTATAAAGTTAAGAAATTGTTAAACGAAAATGGTTTTAATCATATCTGGAATAACCCAGAATCTGTTGATGTAAATCTATTTATACCTATGTTTAAACAGAGGCTTATAGACACTTTTGTCCAAACCTGGCATGTTGATAAGGAAAACAATAACGTTTTAGATTTGTATACAAATATTAAACACAATTTTACACATGAACTGTACTTAGACATTTTGCCAAGCAATTTGAGATTTTTTTTTAGTAAAATCAGAATGTCTTCTCATCCTTTACTTATTCATACTGGCAGGTTTGGAAATAATAGGTTACCTAGGAATGAACGTTATTGCGTTTATTGTAGCATGCACGATCTGGAAGATGAATAGCATTTTATTATCATTTGTCCATGTTATGTTGAGCTTAGAAAAACATATATTAAACCTTATTACTACGTTAGACCTAGCGTTCATAAGTTTTTAGATCTTTTAAATTCAACAAACAAGTTACTTTTGAAAAATCTAGCTTTGTATATTAAAAATGCATTATCTCTTAGAACTACATTTACTTACAATTAATTGTAGTTCATCCTCATAATTATGATAATTGATATGTAATGTAAATATGTTATTTCACTGTGACAATTATGCATATTGTATATATTTGTATATGTGATGATGTACTTATTGTACAAGTCATGAATAAAATTGTTGTTCTGTTCTGTTCTGTTTATAAACATTGGAAACATTGGATCAGAAGAGTTTTGGTCCGGCAGTGAAAGCCGGATATACTTAAAGCTGAACAGATCAGTATCAATGTGAATTTAAAGCAAAAAAAAAAAAAAAAGAAAGCGTGGATTCGTTTTGTACGGAGCCCCTAAGGTGAAATTTTCCACACTTTTTATATTTTATTTCGTAATTACGAAATGTTAATTCGTTTTTACGAAATATTTATTCGTTTTTACGAAATATTATTTCGTAATTACGAAACATTAATTCGTAAAGACGAAATGTTATTTCGTAATAACGAAATAATAATTCGTAATTACGAAATATTAATTCATAATTACGAAATATTATTTCATTTTTACAACATGTTATTTCGTAATCATGAAATATTAATTCGTTTTTACGAAATATTATTTCGTTTTTACGAAATATTATTTCGTAATTACGAAACAACATTTCGATTTTACGAATTAATATTTTGTAATTACGAAATAATATTTCGTAAAAGCGAATTTTTTTCTACAATATCAAAGAGTTTTGGTAAGAAGGACTTAAAACTAAGTTCCTGACTAAATATAAGGCATTTAAATGCAATATAAATAGTAATTTTTTTCTCCCCAAGTTTTATAACTTATGTAACACTTATGTATATAAATTAAAATAATCGCCTGTCAATAGCGTGGTCGCCACTGCCGTGATAGTACAGCGCTAGGAAATTTTGTTAAAATGGGCGTCCTGTGCTTCGAATCCATCGTTTTGTCGAGTTTTGAAATAAGATATTATGTTTTTTATGATCGCATGGTGCCCATACATAAATTAATAGCCTCAAAATTTAAACATTGCTGATGGGAACATGTATTTGACAATGGGGAAAAAGAGTGTATTGTGGATTGAGAATGACTTCTCAATCAAAAACCCTGTTTAGTTAAATATAATAACTTGAGAACAATTCGGCTTATAATCGCAAGGTTTCTGGCTTGTAAATGACCCATTTCTGAGATTATTGGGTTTTGTCAAATTCACATTGCCCTTAAATAAGATTTCGTAATTACGACTAAATATTTCGTAAAAACGAATTATCATTTCGTAAAAACGAATTAATATTTCGTAAAAACGAATTATTGTTTGGTAAAAACGGATTAATATTTCGTAAAAACGAATTAAATGCCGGGAAAAAAGTGTCAAAAATGTCACCTTAGGGGCTCCTTAGTTTTGGGCTGTTTTTCTTCTAACCATACTAACAATGATGTAATCAACGAAATAAATTTTAAGAGGAAAGATTTATTTTCAAGTGTACATCTCGTAATTAGTTTTAGTTCATCATGTTTAAAATACCTTTAATTTGAAAATCAAACTGAAAATAATCACATCTAAAGATTCACATTTTTTATGTTGATAAAAGTATGATGAACCGGAATTACTTAATATTCTATAAAAATCTCTCTACATTGTCAAAATATGCCGTAAACTATCTTTTATCGTTTGCAAGGAATGGGCAAATATCCCACAAAGATAATTTCCCACTAGGAAAATAGCCCACTAGAAAAATAGCCCACTGGACAAAATTCCACAGGAAAAATGCCAACTTACGGCAAGAAGGGTATACGCAAATGGGTTAGAATCAAACTTATGAAATTTGAGCATTTTTAAAAAAGAAAACTATAACTGATAATTGATTACGCATTTTGTCATAATGAATATTTATTAATATGTGAAAATGACTTGATGTTTCTTTATTTAAAGGTAACAAAGCCCAAAGATGTTTTGTCTTTCTCCGCAAAAACGTTATTTCTTGATGTACTGATACAGTTTGCAGACATACTTGCTTTTAGCTAAACTATAATTTGTTTCTTAAGCATTTTGAGATTAAGTATTAGTTGATTTCTTTTGTACGGAAGTCAAAATACTTCCTTGTTTATATTATGTTACTTTTCTCACTAATTATTTATCATTCAGCGTTTATATCCCATACAATATGCAATATACAATATGCAATCAACATGCTCTAAATCCATTACTAAATCATTATTAAAAACATGTTTGCCCAGGCAAAAATACACAAAAAAATTCAAAGGCTAAATGTACCTTTAAATGACAAATGTGATGAAATTTTACACAGATTAACGTGGTAGGAACCAACTTTTATTAACTTTCAATGTTGCTAGTAACATTTTACTTGAGTGCATGAGATATAGAATGTATGGTGGCTGATTTCTGCCATTTCGTTTTGAAGGCCCTTTCAACAGCATCTTAACGAAATAACGAAATTGTCACCTTATGAATGATACATCTGAGATTATTGCTTTTTTAAATGTATATAATGTTATAAGTGAATTACAAATGTATATCAATTCTGACTATAATGGGATATTGTCTTAATGGGATATTGTGGAACGGGCTATGTCTTAGTGAATCATTTTCCTTATGGGCTTTTGTCCTACAATCTTCGATTGTAGAGGGGTAGATAGATGATGCTGAAATTATTGCAGGTCGAAATTTATGTACAACACGAAAAAGAATGGAACATTAAATTAAACTTTTGTTTAACTTGGGTTTGTTTTTGTTCAGCGTTTTGTTCATTTGAAAAGTCGATTACAGTACTATAGCTTTAACTGGACCACCAGCATATTTCTTAAAGTAAAAGGATAAGGCAGATCCTGACAGGTCATTTCCACCGTCTTTGATACTTGTATCCAGTATCACTTTTGCCGGCGCATTGATGTTATTTCGAATGTATGATGTGGTTAACGCTGCCTAAAATGTATGAATTTGTAGGGGAATCCGCTTTCGCTCTATACAGTGCAGAACGTTTTTGCAAGGCAATGAAAGCGGAGTAAAATGTATTCTCACAGTTAGAAAAAAATCGAAACAAATCATTAGTCCTGTAAGTTTAGATTGCTTGAGACTTGAAAAGATTTTGATAACTCACAATTGTGTTTGCATTTTTGGATTATTTAAAAAACCATAAATTTGCCGACTATTGTGCAACAAGATCTCTGTGCCATTTAATTCGCTGGCAGATTGTGTTTATGTTCAGTTTAACAATGCACTTAAATGATTTTGATTTTTTTAAACACTAAACTAAAATATTTTAGTTAAACAACAATGAAATTGTATTTAAGATTGATGACATTATAAGCGTAGATATTTATACAGTATAGGCCATACCCGTTATTTATGATAAAAGTAACATTCGTTTTTGTACAAACATAAATACAGGACACTACAGTTACTGTAGCAAATCATAATAATGTATTTCATTCTTGCATACTCATTTAAACCGTAAATGCATTCAATTTAAAAAAAATGCAACTCGTTTGTGTGCATAACTTAACACCTTAAATAAATTCAATTTAAGAGTGCAACCCGTCCTTGCTCTCACCTATTATTTACTCTTGATAGGTTGGGTTTAAGAGTGCAATCTGTATTTTCCCTTGAATAGATTCTATTCAAGAGTGCAACTTGCTCATACATATATATATACCTTAAAATGATTCATCTAAATACTGCAACCCGTTTTTGCACATACATAAATGCCTTTAGAAGGTTTTATTTAAGAGTGCAACCAGTTATTGCAGACATCTATATATCCTAAAAAAGATACTTTTTAAGAATGCAACTCGTGTACCTGTGTACGTGCAAAGAGGGTGATGTTTTTGTGGATTTCGCAAAGAGGGTACCGATATGGATATGCACCGTGATATTTATGTTAAGTAATGTCGACATGTGCACTGTTATTTGTCTTGTATTATGCTATTATAATGTTATCATGGGCTTATAAGCCCTATATTATTGAAATAAAACTAAAAACTATGTCTTAATAGATTCTCCTATATACCCTAAAAAGATTAAGAGTGCAAGCCGTTTTTGTAAAAATCTTTATACACTTAATAGATACAATATCAAAGTGCAACCCGTTTTGCACACACATCAATACGTTATGTAGATTCAATTCACGGGTGCAACCCGTTTTTGTACACAATAACTAACTTGTTGAACGTAGAAAAATATAGATGCACTTTCTTTCTCAAGAAATTATCTTTATTTCGTATGACTGTTAATTTTACATAGCTTTTGTACTTTCATTTATGTTTTAAAGGCGACAATTACGTAGTAACAATAGATGCTTATCGGCAACAACTTTACAAGATTAAAATTGGCACCGGTGAATACAGCAGAATACCATTGACTAATTCCTGTAAGGGTGTGGCCATAGATATGAATCCATTAACAAAAACCCTATATTGGAGCGACAATATTGCAAATGTTATCATGAAAGCGCAAGTGGATGGTTCCCAAGAGGAAGTTTTCAAAACATTGCCAAAAGGTACAGTTTACATTTTATTCTTGCTATTATGTCAATATCTAAAAAAGATTAAATATCTAAAAAAAGATAAAATAACTACCTTTATACTCATATTCATGTAGAAAATATAATGTAATGAAAGTGTGTAAAAAGTAAAATATCAATTATTTCTATGAAATATTATGTTCTCTCCTCGCCAACAGCTTAAGGTGTATGCCTTCACTACCACATTTGTGATTCCATTGGTTATTGTATTTCCTGTAGGATTTCTTTTTAAATTGTTGATATCAAATCAGATTTATGGATAGACCGCATTTATAGTCAAACCTTTTAACATTATACATTAGAATGTTTAGTTTTCATTCTTAACAACCATTGCAGCATTTTTTTAGATTAATAATTTTGCAAGCAAAAAGATGTCGACGACCCATTAGTCCCATAAAGCCTACATTGTTTGACAAAAGGATTAACCAACAAGCTCTTTCCATGATAAAAATACATTGAAGTGAATTTCTATTGTTTGGCGTTTCCATGGCATCAATTATATTTTGCATATGACGTTGATATCATTCAGATTCAAAAAAAAAACGAAATACCGATATATTATCTCATGTTTGAAAATTGTAGTTGTTGCTTTTAAACGCACTTGACATTCCCTCTATGTTTCCAAAACAACGTAGATATTTTTAATCATAAAGATTTTCGCCGGTTATATGGCAGTATATAAACTGTTGTTTACATGCATAACACGTTATATTGAAAACAACTGCTTATATGCAGCCATATCACCTGTCAGGAATCTTTATAACGAATTTTAAATATAACAGACTTTTATAGATAAAAGTAAGATTTCTTCGTAAATTGACAGCAGCCTTGTTTATATAACTATATAAACGTTACAATATCCAATCCAAAGCGACTTTACAAAAGTGCTGTATTATAAAAATCACAATACACGCGTTTTCTCGGCAGGATCAACATCAGATGGCATCGCTGTTGACTATATAAATCAGTTGCTGTTCTACACATGCGACCTTGACAATGTCATCATAGTTGTCTCGCTGAAAAATAAAGACATTTATAAAACAATTGTTAACGAGTCATTAGACGAACCATGGGACATAATTGTACACCCGGAAAGAGGGTAAGTATGTTTGAACGTTAACATCGTGTTAAATTTGATTCTAGTTTTATTTGATTGCGAAACAATGTTATTTTTTTATTTATATAAATAAACAAAATATTTAATGGATAACACTGATGCAAAAACATCTAAGTCGCCACTTTTTCTAAAAAATTTGCAAACGAATTCTAACTTTTTATTACTTTTACATTTCGTAATAAAAACAAGTAATTTACAAATTGAGTAAGGTTATAGTACTAAACAAAAAATCTGTTTCGCTTAATTATGTTACACAAATTTTTTTTTTTAAGGAAACACATACATTTTATATATTCATTAACCCTTACCTGAATGTTTTTGTTCAAGTTTGGTCAAAACTAATTTTAAGGAGAAAAAATCCAAAATATGTTCTAACTGAATTGCGAACACTGCAGACCAAGTTCAGGCAGCACAACTGTGCCGGCTGATCTTGGTCTGCAGTCGTCGCATCGGCAAAATTAGTTGCCACAAGCAAGTTCAGAATTAATTAAATAATTCGGGAAGACTTCTTCACATATTTTTTCTCCAAAGAGTAATATACTGGTCAGACTGGGGCAATGAGCCAAGGATAGAGACATCAACCATGGACGGTGGTAACAGAAGTATAATTGTGTCGTTTGAACCGGACTCATGGCCTAGTGCTATTGCTTTAGATGTGAAAAGTAAGTACAGTGAACCCCCTCAATTAAGACCACCCATGGGACTGTTCTTAAGTGGTCTTAATTGCAGGGTGGTCTGATTAGTGAGTTTTAGTATGATAGTCTGGTTATTTCTTTGAATTCTTTTTCTTACTGTAGATCTACAATTTAAATATAATTATTGCCCTATTTGAGTGAAATACTTCAGGAATTTATAAAGTAAATGAAATATTCATTTTTACATAACTTTATTGCAATAAATTAATCATTTTTTACTAAGTGCACTAAAATAGCCATTAGCATTTAAATTATTCTTCAATGTTTCTCTAATAATGTTACAAGCCAACTTTTTTTATCAGATGCTGTCACAAGCCAACTCATATTCTTCTTGTAGGTTTTTTTTTTATTTTAACTTTACAAGAAACGTATCCAAAGTTGACTGTTTTGATCCAACCATAACAATAACTGACAGTTTTTCAAAGTCCTTTTGTGCTTTGTCAAATACTGGCAACATAGTCATTAAGTCTTTTTTGAAACAGTACAACTTGAGCTGTTCAATCCACTTAAGGGCATCCTGATGGGAATGGATTAAACACTCAGTACCAGGTTCTAAGTCATTAGTACAGTCATCGTTATCCACATCTATAGATCCCGTAGATTTATGAGATACAATAATCTTGTTCTCCTAGTTCTGATTGCTAACATCATTTGCTATCAACTCATTGTCAATGTTAATGTAATCCTCTGGTGTCATCCGAGATTCAACACATAATTTTGACTGAGCGGTTCTCATTAATTCTACTAATTCCGCAATAGGCACATTGTCATCATGGTCACCATCTTCAACATCCACACTTTTACCAACAGTCAGTCCAAAGACCTTAAAACACTTAGTGACAGCCTCTGGCTTTATTTCTTTTACTGCACAACAAGTCCATTGAATGGCATCTAAGACAGTCAAACCCTTAGAAAGTTCATCAGGACTTCAAGCAGATCCATTTTTGTCAATGTTTTTAACATTCTCTTCCTGTAAATATGTTTCATGTTTTGAATAATGCCCTGGTCCAGAGGCTCAAGCTTTGGTGTAGTGTTGGGAGGAAGGTACACAAGTTTCACATTTGATAGTTTCAAGTCATGGGGATAAGATGGGGCATTATCTAACAATAACAAAACACTGCGCCCAGCACGTTTCATTCTAGCATTGAAATCCTTCACCAAGTCAGTGAATAGCCCACTAGTCATCCATGCTTTCTTGTTGTATCTCAAATCTACAGATAAGTTCTTTGTGTTTATGTTTTTAAAGCACCTTGGTTTAGCTGATTTCCCTATCACTAGTGGTTTTTCAAACTTTATGTGACTTCCATGTTCGTGAGCATGACTGTTATGCGATCTTTTGACTTTTTCCACCTTTACATTGATCGCCACGCATGATTAAAGACTTATCAGACAGAGCACGAAAGAAAAGTCCCGTTTCATCCATGTTATTAATGTCACATGACCTGTAACCAGAAGCTATATCTGGCAACCACTGAATCCAGTCATCTACTTTTTCCTGAGGTACACTACCACTTTCCACACACACTGAAGAAAAGTTTATATCATGGCGTTCTCTTAACCTACATAACCATCCGTTTGATGCCTTAAAATCATCATCTGATAATCCTAGGTCTTTAGCATACACAAGCGCTTTCTCCTCTAGCATGAGACCAGACATTGGTATACCTTGTGAACCCACTGCCACAAAGTGTGTTTACTTCCTCCATTGGCGAACGTTTACATATGCGTTTTCTGTCTACATTTTGATTTGACCCGTACCCTGCCATATTCTCTGCCTTACGTTTCAGAATACACTGGACCTGAAATTACAAAATAAACACATTTAAAATCATAATCAGAATGTTTTAACTTGAGAACATGTATGTTAAGTTTAACATTTTTTGAATTTCGTTTTTCTTTAGAATTTAAACGGTTAGAGTATAACAGTTTTTAATTGTGATGAAAACTTGCTTTGATTTTTTTCTTCCGACAATAATTTGTTTTGTTTTTACCTGAGTTTTGTCTTCGCCAAATTGCTAAGCAAACCGACGTTGACTTTTGCCATCACTTTAGTAAATCAACTGTACTTTCTCTTTCAAGCTTAATTCTTTTCGTGTGCCCATTGTTTTAGGCTTACAAACAATTTCTATAGACGGACACAGCTATTATTATGATTATTTTGTTTACTAAACTGATCGTTCAAATTTACAATCAAATATGACCAAATAAACCAACGAAATATGTACAGGAAAGTAACTATTTACACTATTTTACTCTTCTCGCTCATTGGATAGACGTTTAAAAAGATGCGTAATTAAAAGATTACATGAACAACTATTCGTACATTGTTGCACATCCGACGGTATGCCTAAAATACGAAATTGAGATTTTTGACGAAAGTGAGCGAAAGTGACTTTTAAAATATGAATTGTACCGGTTTAATAGAATTTTACAGTGAATTTTTTATTTGTCGACGTATATTATTAGCAACTAATAATATTTCTTTTCAAAAATAATCACTCTGATGATTTAATTGCCATTTATTTGTATAATTTCTATACACAAGTTTTGAGATCTTCCTTTCGCTCACTTTGAAAATACAAAAGTGACCTGTAAAATATTAAATATAGAGTTTAAATTCAAATTTATACTAATATTGCAGTTTGTAGACGTATATTATCAGAAATATATAATATTTATTTTCAAAACTTCTGTAATTTACAAAAAAATATGTCATACGGTCAGTAAGTGTATTGTATCTGCACGCGGTATAGTTTCAATATAATTATAGTGTTGTGATGATTTCATGTATGTGGCAAAAATGGAATTAATAAAACTGCAAAAGTAGAAAGAAAAGAAGTAAATCACTGTTGATCTTGGATTATTTTCTGGTTACTAATTTCAAGGGATGTTAAGGCTGCAAAATTTACAAATGTGACGGGAAGGGTGAGTAAATATTGGTTTTATTTTGTAAACATAAGAAGTAAAGGGGATTTTCCCCCCTTATGCTTAATTGCTGTGAATTATCTGACTAACTTAGAATCTATAAGGGTGGGAATTTTAATGCTTCAAAATATCCCTCATTTGTGGTAAACGATGTACGTTTGACCAACCCTTAAACGAAAGTGAAATATTAAGGGCTTCGCCCCGCTACAAGTATGTACATGTACTGTCTTCTTACAGTTTAATTAAGGTCAGTTAGGTTTAATTAAGCCGGTAATTAAGTAACTTAAAAATAAACAACTATATGAAGGAAATACAGAAAATATATATCTGTTACTGGTATACTATTATCATCTTCATTCATGCTTTTGAATAAGTATTGTCCTCTTTACAAATTTCAAAGTTATTCATTAATTTGCATAATAAAATAGTTTTCAAAGATATATATAACTGACTGTAATATGGTTGGGTCATTATTTTACAAAAGGAGAGACAAAAAGAAAGAAAAGAAAATAGCTCTGTAGATTTGTCCTCATTAATAGATAAATGTAGATATTACTACAGTACAGTATCTACTCACTCATTGTTCTTTGTACAGTCTGATGTCAACTTTAATATGTTAATATCAAGTATCAAATTTTCAGAGCATCAAATATCATATATAAAACTGAGTACAATAAATAGTACCAATTAATAATAAATTATAATAGCAATGAACTATATACAAATATGTACAGTATTAAATAAGGATTTTTAACAGACACTTGCAGTTTACTTGAAATTTACCATTTTTAAATGTCTAACATGCATTGACTCAATTCATTGTGAATAGTGTACCTGTTGTTACTGATTTCAAACAATAAGAATATTATTAAGCTTGATATCATACATATAAAAACATGAACTTTACCATTTTTAGATGGTTAACATGCATTGATTCAATTCATAGTGAATGGTGTAACTGTTGTTACTTATTTCGAATAAACATGATATCATACATATGAAAAACAATTAATATTAACACGACCAATATTGCTTAAGTTTATAAAATTAAGCATTTACACTGAGCATTTTACCAAATTACATAGGAAATTAATTGATAAAATATATAGTTCATAAATCTACATCTAGCTTATGCTATGTAAATTGTTCTGCTAATAAATTTCCATAAACATTTCAAATAAAATCATTTAATATTGAGCTATAACATTTTTGGTTATAATTTGTACAAATTTACGTAAATAAGTTAGTTCTTTTTTGTTTTCTGAATTGAATAACTTGTCAAATTTATGTATGCTGTGTTGTTTGATCATTGTTTTCGTGATTACATTCAAGGATGTAGAGATATGCGTCTCTTAAACCATGACTGCATAAATAACAGGTTCTTTAATTAAATGGTATGCTATGGTAACGTCCAACCTCAACTGGACATTTATGATTCCTTGTTCTAAATGCTGTTAACAGTTTTCCATAATAATTTGGTAATTTTGTGAAATATTTGTTCATGTTGGTATCATGTTTAATTATCTTGTACATTCAGTTAGTTGAATTATTAACTGTTGAGCTCAAGGTTTGGGTAAATAGGTCTTTAATATTTCTTTTAAATGCAAGAGAAAACCATTTTAGATTCAGATCACTTTTGGTTAATCAATACATTATTGAATCCATTTGTTTGAATCAGATTATCAATAAAGTCTAACCATTTGGATTTGACATTTCTTTGCCTATTTAATCCAGTTAAAATATTATACATTATGGTTGCCAGTTTGTTATTATCTGTACGTATGAATTGATTATAATTATATTATGGTTGTTATCATTATCAGTGTTATTATAATCACTGGGATTGTTATCATTGGTGTCATTATTATCATTGATATTGTTATTATTGGTGTTGTTAAAACCATTGTTATTATTATTACTACCGTTATTATTATTGTTATAATTTATATTGTTATTGTTATTTTTTATTCTGCACCAGAAAGATATCTTTCTTATCTAGCGGCATTAGACCTAGTTTATTGTATATAATATAGGAAGGCTTT